TTGGTTGGTTTTCAATGTTTTATATCTTTACTTATGGTGTTGAGGTCCTAATTCATGCTGTTGAGCTTCCTCAAGATTGTAACTCTGACCTCTACCTCTGATAACTTGCTTAACTGCATTTCATTGATCTCATCTTCAGTAGAGTTCTCTTGTTCTTTCATTTGGGATTTGTTTCTTTGTTTCACCATTTTGGCTATCTCAGTGGGTTTTGGAGCCTGCCAAGTTTTCCCTATGGGTGTCAATGTTCTGCTGCTTGTGGCTCCCTCTACTGGGTTTGGATGAGTGTTGGAGGACACACATTAAACCCCACTGTTGAGTCTTACTTTCCTGGGTGGATTTGTAAGACCAGGAAAGGTTCAGTTATCCTCTAGCTCTTTGCCTGGAGGCTATTAGTCTCAGTTACTTGATGAGCCTTGAGTTATAGCCCTCAGTTGAATGAAAAGCTCCCTCAGGTGTTCAGTATAGGAGGATTTTCAGAGGGTGGGGCAGATGCTGGTTGTTAATGAGCCTCAATTTGCATTTATCTGGCCCAGCTGAGTGGAATTAAATCTCCAAGGGAGAGGTTGCTGCTGCTTTTTTTTTTTTTTCCCTCACCCGAGGACATTTTTCCATTTTTTGTACAGATAGAGTGGGAGGAAGAGAGAGAGAGGGAAACATCGATGTGAAAGGGACACATCGAGTGGCTGCCACCCACACGACCAACCAGGGCTGGGGACAAACTGCAACCTAGGTACGTGCCCTTAGTGGGAACCGAACCCGGGTCTCTCCAGACCACAGGCGGATGCTCCAACCACTGAGCCAAACCAGCCAGGGCGGTTGCTGCTTCTTTCTAGAGCTCCAGGAATGGGCTCCCCAAGCAAGATGGCCACTGTCCTGTGTAGCAGTGACTCAGTGAAAACCCTGAGCACACTCCAAATACCAGGTGTTCCCACACAATTCTAGTTCAGTCTCCCCTCCCTCCTGTAGCCCAAGGTTAGTGGCTGTAGCTAATTTAGTACTCTGTCCTGGCCCTCTGAGCTGTGGAGCCAGATTGGGATTTTAACCCCGAGGGAGCTGCTCACAGCTAAACAGCTGCTGTCTGTGGACTCTCAGCCCACCCTGTTGCGCCTCTGCAGACCTACCAGGCTCAATTCAGTGTCGTTTTTTTCCTGTTCCTGGTTATATAGGTCCTTTCTTGCTGCTTTTCTGTTGCTTTTTCCTGACAATTTGTCTTTATTTTAGTTGTAATTCCAGTTTGGTCCTTGGAGATGGTCTGTGTAGCTTCCGTTCACTCCACCACCATTTTGGAATCCTATGGATCATTCTTTTAGTGATTTATCTAAGAAATCTGTGCTTAACCCAAGATCACAAAGATGTTCACCTGTGTTTAAGTTAATATTTTAGGTCTCATATATAGGTCTATGCTCTATTTTTAGTTAATTTTTTGTATGAAGTAAGGTATGAGTTGAAGTTTATATTTTTGCATATAAATATCCAATTGTTTCAGCATAATTTGTTGAAAAGACTATACTTTTCCTCACTGAATTGCCTTTGCACCTTTGTTGAAAATCCAGTGTCCATGTATATGCAGGGGAAACTTCTGGACTATTCATTTTGTTCCATTAATCTATTCATCTGTCTTTATTTCATTAACACACTGTCTTGAGAACTGTAGGTTTAATAAGTCTTGAAATCAGGTAATATTAGTCCTCTGACTTCATTCTTCTTTTTCAAATTTGTTTTGGATATACTAGGTCCTTTGCACTTGTATATAAATTTTAGAATCAGCTTGGGAATTTTTTTTCACTATAATAATTTCTTTATTTTTCATTACAATTGATGTTCAATATTAGTTTCATTTGTACAACATAGTGATTAGACATTTATATAACTTACAGAGTGATCACCCTGATACATCTAGTACCTATCTGACACCACAAATAGTTGTTACAATATGATATGTTGTACTTTACATTCCCATGACTGTTATGTAACTGCCATTTTGTATTTTCTTTTCCCAATTTGTACTTCTTACTCCCGTCACCTTTTTCACCAGTTCACCCAAACCCCTTCTCATCAGCTTGTGAATTTCTAAAAAAGCTCAAAAACAACCAGCTAGAATTTTTATTGCGTCTGTGTTGAATTTCTAGATCAATTTAGAGAGAATTTAGAGAGAATTACATCTAGATCAATCTAGAGAGAATTATATCTTGGCAGTACTGAGTCTTCTGACCCATGAACACAGTATCTGTATTTATTTATGTCTTATTTAATTTCTTTCAGCAGTGTTTTAATAGTTTTCACTATATAGGTCTTATTTATTTTTGTCATATTTATCCCTAAGTAATTCATATTTCTTATGCTATTGAAAGTGATATTTTTTAAAGTTTCAATTTGTTATTGTTCATTGTTGGCTACAGAAACAATATTTTATATATTGCTTTTGTATCCTGCAGTGTTGTTAATCTCACTTATTAGTTCTAGTAGTTTTTTTGTATGTGTGTAGATTCCATCAGATTGTCTACATAGGCAATCATGATGTCAGAAAGTGTGACAATTTTACTTCTTTCTTACCAATCTGGATGCCTTTTAGTTATTTTTCTTGCCTTATTGTACTGGTTAGAACCTCCAATGCAATGTTGAATAGATGTACTAAGAGTGGAAATTCTTTGTCCTAATCTTAAAGTAGTCATTCTTTTACTTTTAAGTGTGATGCTAGGTATAAGTTTACTGAAGAGGCTCTTAATCAAGTTGAACAAATTGCCTTCTGTCTCTAAATTGTTGCACTTCTTTTTGAAAAACAAAAACAAAAAACCAGATGGTTAGATTTTTTTTTAAAGTGTTTTTTGTGTGTGTTTCTATTAAGGTAATCATGAGGTTTTTATTTTTCATTTTGTTATATAGTTAGTTACATTGATTGATTTTCAAATATTGAAAATCAAACTTGCATTCCTGAGATAAACCTCTGTTGGTCATGATGTATTATCCATTTGCTGGATTTGACTTGCTAAAATATTAATTTTTCCATTTATGTTGAAGGATATTGGTCTGAAGTTTTCTTGAAATGTTTTTGTTTGGTTTTGGTATCAGGGTAATGCTGTTTATAATCATGAAGGTGTGCACAGAAAGACAGAACTTGAAACGATGAGAAATCAAGGCAGCTTCTTTTCATCTGCCTCGATTTGTCTATTTCCCTGCCTATCTCTTTCTAGAACAACGGTGTCTTTGCTGTGCTCCTCTCTGCTTCTGCTAGATTCTATAAGAGGTATATTAACCCATAGTTTAGTTCCATGTGCATGAGTGTGAAACTACTCCAAAATGGGGAAGTGTTGTCTGACTCCTTTCATTATCTCATCTGGGGGATAATGCTGGGGAAAAACGATTCTCACCCTCCTCCTCCCCCACTCACTTTCCAATATTGTTTCAAGCACTGAGAGGCAGGGCTTTTCCGGTTTTTTTTTGTTTTTTTTTTTTCCGTCAAATTGTTAAAACTGTGCAAGTATAATATCTCATGAACTAAAGATAGTTCTCACCTTTTTTTTTTTTTTTAACATTTGCATGTTTTCTTACTTTGTTGCAATATACATTATTTGTTTTTGGAAAGGGACATAAAAAGCTTGTGGTACCTTGCTTTTGGAACATTGTTCATAATTTATTAATTTTTTTCTAGAAGAGGAAAGAATTATATCATGACTAATATCATACATGTAATACATGACATTGTACAAAAGGCAAAACTATAGGGAAAGAAAACAGATCAGTATTTGTAAGGGCTGCAGATGGTGGGTATGATTCACTATAAATGGGCTGAGGGAATTTTTGGGGAGGATGGAACTGTTCTATAAGTGACTTATGCATTTGTAAAACTATATATCAAAAGGGTTTGTGTACATTATACTCTAAAAAAAAAAATTCTGTCCATAAAGGGATAGGGGAGTAGAATATACAACCCCTATTATTTTTAATGCATGAGTAGCATACTATACATAATACTTTATACCTCATGGGTGTTAAAGAAAAAGAAGAAGAAATGTAGTAGTAAAAACTGCAATATAGGCACAGGAATTGACAAAAGAATAGATCAGAAGACAGATCTTAAAAACAATCCCATGTTGCCCTGGCCGGTTTGGCTCAGCGGTTAGAGCGTCGGCCTGCGGTCCTGAGAGAGCCGGGTTCGGTTCCCGCTAAGGGCGCGTACCTCGGTTGCGGTTTGTCCCCGGCCCTGGTTGGTCGTGCGGGTGGCAGCCACTCGATGTGTTCCTTTCACATCGATGTTTCTCTCTCTCTCTCTGTTCCTCTCTCTCCCTCCCACTCTACCTGAACAAAAAACAACAACAACAAAAAAAAACAATCCCATGTTATATATGGGAACTTGACATATGACAGAAATGTCATTGCAAATCAGAAGGGAAAGGACAGGAATTCAATAACTAATACTGAGATAATTGGCATATGAAAAAGATAAAATTATATCCCTGTGGTACAGAATACACAAAAATGAATTTCAGCTGGATTAAAGACCTGAATGTGAACAGCAAAACAGTAAAACTCTTAAAATAAATTATAGAATATCTTCAGGATTTCAGACTAAGTAAGATTTTCTTAAGATAGCCCTGGCCGGTTTGGCTCAGCGGTTAGAGCGTTGGCCTGCAGACCAGAGAGTCCTAGGTTTGGTTCCTGCTAAGGGCATGTACCTTGGTTGCCATTTGTCCCTGGCCCCAGTTGGGGTCGAATGGGTGGCAACCAGTCGATGTGTCTCTCTCACATCAATGTTTCTCTCTCTCTCTTCCTCTCTTTCTCTCTCCCGCTCTATCTGAAGATAAATGCAACAATGCCCCCCAGTGAGGATAAACTAAAAACAAATTAGCTCATGAGGGTAATCTTATATTTTATTTGTTAATGATAAATGAAAATACAATAAAGACTAGTAATGAAAACTCAAATGATCACATTATAATGTTCAGTTTTGTGAAATTTAATTGAAAAATGAAAACAGAAGACTGCTTTTGTCTTTTTTGCAGGGGATGAGACAACAGAAACTTAAAGCCAAAAAGAAGCGTGATGAAGAAATAGAGAAAGAAAGACAAATTCTTGATGTGGAAGAAGCAATATATAAACAAGGAGAACGAAAAAAGGCCATTGAACATGCGAAACAATATCAATTTTACCAGACAGAAAGAGTGAAAAATTTTCATGTACTACTTGGATTTTCTTGTATTTTTATATATTTAACAATTTATACACAGACTTTTTTTAAATTAAAATACTGCCTTTTTTTTTTTTTTAAGTCAGGACTTCTTCTTAGTAGAGTGATGAAAGAACGTGATGCACAGATTGAATACCAAAAGAGTAGAATAAAATCAGATAAGAAATGGGAGGAACACTTGAAACTCAACATTGAAAAAGCTCTTAAGGAAGAACAAGAAAAAGCAGAAAAACGACGGAGTGATAGAATAGCTCTTGCCAATGATCATTTAAAACAGTATGTATATATAAATTACCTTTTTTGTACCTTTCTCTTTATTTATTTTTTAATCCTCACCTGAGTGCATTTTTGCATTTATCTTTAGATAGAGCAGGAGGGATAGAAGGGGGAAGAGAGAGAAAGAAACATCGATGTTAAGAGAGACACATGACTTGTTGCTACTCACACGACCCCAGCCAGGGCCAGGGACAAACTGCAACTGAGGTATGTGCCCTCAGCGGGAACTGAACCCGGGGCTCTCTGGTCTGTGGGCCGACACTCTAACCACCGAGCAACCTGCCAGGGCTTCCTCTTTTTCTCATAATGAATATGGCTTTCTTTTCTGATTATAAAAATAATACATGCTAAAATACTTAGTAAGTAGAGCAAAATACAGGGAAAGAGGTTAAAAATCATTATTACTTCTTACCCAAAGGTAATATATTGGTTATATTGTCACAATAATGCTGCAAAACAAACAACCGAACAATCTAGGGGCATTCACCAATAAACATTTATTTTTCATGTATCTGTGGGATGGTTGGGCTTGGTTGGCAGCTTTTCTTCAAACTGTAGGACTGGCTGGGTTTGCTTGTTGTTATGGGCAGGGCCTGGTGTATTCATTCTGAAGACCTAGATGAAGGGATAGTAATATCCAGTTCTGGATAGTATTTTATTTTGATTTTTTGCTAAATTAGTGGGCAAAAAATTGTATCTTTTAATTTTTAGTAATTTTAGTGAGGCAGCCAACTATGGAAAGCTTTTCTTATGGTATTGACAAAGATGCAAGAGAATGAGCCCAAGCTTGCAAGAACATGGCTAAACCCAAAGTCAAAGGTCAAGGAAAATATCAATGAGTCTAAACACATGGCTAAGCCCAACAACAGTGAAACAAGAAATAAACTCCCACAGAAGTAGGGAGTGAGAGTGAGTCTTTTTGAATAATAACCTAATCCACCACAATAATCTCTTATTGTTTTGGTATATAGCCATATAGACCTTTTTTGATGGTGGTGGTGGAGGGGGTTGGATTCATCCAGGGATAATTTATATTGAGTAATATTCGCCTGTTTAAAAGCATAGAGCTGCCCTGGCCGGTTTGGCTCAGCGGTTAGAGCGTTGGCCTGCGGTCCAGAGAGACCCGGGTTCGGTTCCTGCTAAGGGCATGTACCTCGGTTGCAGTTTGTCCCCGGCCCTGGTTGGTCGTGCGGGTGGCAGCCACTCGATGTGTCCCTTTCACATAGATGTTTCTCCCTCTGTCTCCCTCTCTCTCCCTCCCACTCTATCTGAACAACAACAACAACAAAAAGGAAAAATGTCCTCGGGTGAGAATTAAAAAAAAAAAAAAGCATAGAGCTGTATACCATCCCAAAATCAGCTTACAGAACACTTTCATCACTCTAAATAGGTTCCCTCATGTCCCTTTGAACTCAATTCTATCCCCTACCCTCAGCCTCTGGAAATCTTTGATCCACTGATACAGACTATTTATTTAATATGTGTATGTGTGTGTGTGTGTGTGTGTGTGTGTGTGTGTGTGTATTCACATTCAATAAATATATATATACTCACATTTTATATATACTCATATTTTAATTAATATATATAATATATATGCTCACATTTTATAAAATAAAATTGCATCAACTACCATTTTATTAAATATTTTTTTCATTTACCAGTATATCATGAGCTCTTGCCATGTCAGTAAATTGAAATCAAACCTGATCTCTTTTTTTAAAAATAACTAATATATATATGTGTGTATATATATGTATATATACATATATATACACATATATATGTATATATACATATACACACACACATATATATATATATATATATATATATATGGTGGAAGTGCTATTTGTATATCATTTTACTTACTTTTCTAAATAGCTGATACATGCTAATAGGAAACGGCACAAAAAGAATTCAGAAAAAGTCTATTCTGTGTCCACTAGCCACTTTGTTTCTCCAATGTGAGATTACCAGTTTTCTTACACTGTAGTTTAAATGTGCACAAATTGTATAAATGTATCAAAAATTTTAAACAATACTGTATTGTATTGGTGGACATTATAGAATTTTGAAATTCAGTTAAACAAAATGAAAAATAATAAAAAATCACCAGAAACTTTGTGATCTAGAGTAGGTGCTGTTACCATTGGATGCATGTTTGTCTACTACTACAAATTATTTTTTTAAATTATTTTTGCAAATAATAAATGCATATATACTTATTTAAATTCAAGCTCTTCATATCCACCTTGTTCAATGTCTCTCTCTCTCTCTTTTTAATAGTTAAGGTTTTTATTTATTTATTTTATTATTTTTTTATCCTCACCCGAGGACATTTTTCCATATTTTGTTCAGATAGAGTGGGAGGGGGAGAGAGAGAGAGAGAGAGAGAGAGAGAGAGAAACATCGACATGAAAGGGACACGTTGAGTGGCTGCCACCCGCACAACCCAACCAGGGCCGGGGACAAACTGCAACCGAGGTACATGCCCTTAGCGGGAACCGAACCTGGGTCTCTCTGGACCTCAGGTCGACGCTCTAACCGCTGAGCCAAACCAGCCAGGGCCAATGTCTGTCTCTGTAAGTCCCTTTTCCTCTTACCAAAAAGCCAATATAAAGTTTTGTAACTATCTCTTCAAAATGTTTTATTGAAGTTACTGATACTTACATACAGGACATATATATATTTGGTTAATCCTCACCTGAGGATATTTTTCTATTGACTTTTAGCAGAGTAGAAAGGAGGGAGTGGGGAGAGAGAAAGAAACATTGATGTGAGAGAAACAACACATTGATTGCCTTCCGTACGACTCAGACTGGGGCAGGGGATTGAACTTGCAACCCAGGTACATGCCCTCGACTGGGAATCGAACCCATGACCCTTCAGTCAGAGGCTTGATGTTCTTACCGCTGAGCCAAACTGGCCAGGGTGTGTATATTTTTTAATATGGATGTTATACAATATATTTTTCTGTGATTTCATTTTTTCATTCAACAATATACCTTAAATATCTTTTAAGCCAGATATATGGATCTATCAAATATTTTAAAATAATCATATTGTATACAATGCATGTACCATTATTTATTTAACTATATTATTATTGAGGGAAATTTGACACCCCCCCATTTCTAAGTGCTGCAGTAAACATCATTAAGCGTATATCTTTTGTAACTTTTGTGCAAAGATGCATTTATGTAGGATAGATTTCTTGAAATGGACTTAGATTTTACACTTGGAGAGAGACTGCCCAATTGCCCTTTGAGAAGGCTGTAAGTGTACCTTCATCAATGATGTCTGTTGCCCTTTTCTTCTGTTTTTAAAAAAATATATGTTTTTATTGATTTTTTAGAGAGAGATAGAAACATTGATGTGAGAGAGAAATATCAATCAGCTGCCTCCTACACGACCCCACTGGGGATCGAGCCCGCAACCCAGTCATGTGCCCTGACCAGGAATCAAACCAGGACCTCTCAGTCCATGGGACAACACTCAACTCACTGAGCCACACCAGCCTTTTCTTTATACTGTAACCAATTTTGGGAAGTGCTATTTTTTGGTAAAGTTAGCAGGCAAAAAATCCTATCTTTTAATTTACATTTCTAGTAATTTTAGTGAGGCTGAGCATTTTTTTACATGTAAATGTTCATTTGTTTGGGTTTTTATTATCATGAATTGGTTACTCCATTGTTCTCTTGTGTAGGTTGTTTCATATTGGTATGTATGTTTGTCATTGATTAAAAACTGATTAATAAGCAGTTTTTTTGTTTGTTTTTTTATCCTCACCCAAGGACATTTTTCCATTTTTTGTTTATATAGAGTGGGGGGGGGGGGGGAGAGAGAGAGAGAGAGAGAGAGAGAGAGAGAGAGAGAAAGCATTGACACGAAAAGGACACATCAAGTGGCTGCCACCCGCACTACCAACCAGGGCCGGGGACAAACCGCAACCGAGGTACGTGCCCTTAGTGGGAACCGAACCCGGGTCTCTCTGGACCGCAGGCTGACGCTCTAACTGCTGAGCCAAACCGGCCAGGGCAATAAGCAGTTTTTTAAAAAGATATTTTAAAACTTATTTCTTAGAGAGGAAGGAAGAGGGAGGGAAAGAGAGAGACATCAATGTGAAAGTGGAACATCGATTGGCTGCCTCTTGTATACCTTCTACCAGGGTTTGAGACCACAACCCAGGCATGTGCCCTGACCAGGAATCAAACTGGCAACCTTTTGGTGCCTTGGGTGATGCCCAACCAACTGATCCACATGGGCCAGTGCAAGCACTTTTTATCTATGTTGATATACTAATTTCTTAGACTCTGCAGATTTTTTTCATCTTTTCTGAATGGTTTTCAGTAGTTAGAAGATATTTATTTTTATGTGTTCAAGTCTGTCCTTTTATTATGATTTTGTTTTTGTATACATATTTATTTCTCAAAATCACAAATGTGTAAGTGATGTAGACATCAATTCTCAGGATGTATATGTTGCCAGATTGTATTCTTTAGTTCTTTTAACCTTTAGTTAAAAGAGAGGAGTAACCTTTGGATTTATTGTAATTTTTTTTTTCCTTTGGTGGTGTAGAATCCAAGGGTTTGTGCAAGTTAGGGATGGAACTGTTGGCAAAGGGAGGCAAATATTTGCTCAGTGAGTCACCTTTAATAAGTCTCTCTTTTTATATTAGCTATTGCAGCTCAGAGATAATTACAGGTAGCAACTTAATCTTCAGCAAGCCACCTGGCAAGTACAAACACCTTCACAGGCCATCTGCCTTTGCACATAAGCTGTGTTTGGGCCACAGGATCGCCTTGTCTAGTGGTGTTGGGCAATGTTAGAGGTTCAAGCAGGTTTAGGATTTGCTTTAGTTATTTCTTTGGCTTGTCTTCATTGTAGTCCAGATGTTCATCGGCCTCTGAGGTCAGCATAAATTCCTTTATTTACTCTTCACAATGGACTCTGTCTTTGTGAATGGGGGCCATCTATCACTTATCCTCACTGCACTT